GGTTCCTTTTTTTGGAAATCAACTGAGCAGCAAAGGCGTTTCTGTGTAAATAAAAGCCTAAAATGCTTGTTTCATAATTATGCCCCCCCCCGCCTGCCCTCCCCATTTGGGTTTTGTCTTTCAGCTGTTATGATTGCAGTTGCTATGGAAACCTTTGAACTTCGTGCCAGCCCCCTCTCCCCATTTCATACTGAGCATTTCCACTTGCAGAAATCAAGCAAAGGGCCGTGGGTTTGAACTCCATCGAGACGAGACGCCAGCTCTCTTCCTATCCGTGGGTGTGCGCACGCATTGCTACAAAAATAATATTTTGTCTTGCATGTCCTTTTCCTTCCACGAAGGGCAATTAACAAAACAGCCTCAAAGCTTAAAAAAGAGAGAGGGAGAGAGCGCCAACCCCAAGCAAACTAAAAACACAAAGGAAGAAAACAAACAGAGAAAAAAAAAATCGACTTTATACTTTTTACTTACCAATAATCCCTGGTTTACTCATGAATTCCCTAAGAGTCATTTCAATGAGATGGGCGGGGACAAATTCAAAATATAAATATAAATATATATACATATGTTTGAGTTTGCTGTGCTCGTTATTGGGCTGATCGCATACATTCATAGCTCTGCGTGGCCCTCATCGAAATGTAAGCCAGCCATTCAGTAATATAGGGGAAAGCACAAGGGTGCACTCCTAGCGTGGTTCCAAATTAAATTTTCTCCCAGACCCTTGGCATTGCCAGCTGTTAAGAATCAATCCTACCCCGAGAATAGCATATTTCTAGCCTGTCTCTCAGATCCATTAAGAATAACAGCTCCTGGACAATAAAACAAATTTCCTTCCATTCATTAAGGAAAGTGAATCCATGGCGTACGCTACAGGCCAGATATATCTCTCCAGAGACTTCAGCTCCAAGCAGTTACTCAACTAACTAATTAACTGACCAAATAATATAATTTTTGTCTGTTTTGTAAATGTCATTTTGCCAGGCCATAAAGGAGCAGGGTTGTTCTGTTTTCATTATTATTTCATGTATCATAGAACACCCGTGCAACTGAACTGAGTTAGGATTTTACCAGATTAAGTTATGGTGGCTCTTCTTTTGCTGGAAGGAAAGAAGAAAGGAAGAAAGAAGGGAAGGAAGGAAGGAAGGAAGGAAGGAAGGAAGGAAGGAAGGAAGGAAGG